ATATACAGAAGCATTTGTGGACAGCAGTCCCAGATGGTGAAGTAAGAACGTTCCTGTGGGCAGTGCTCCGCGAAAGAGGAGACGAACGGCACCAAGGACAGACCCGAGGGGCTGACCACTGCTGACAGGGCAGGACAGGGTCATAGTCAAGAGATCACAGGAGACTCATATGGATCTAAGTCTGGGTCATCTCTGAGTGTGCATGGGCTTCGGTCACACGTTGGCTCACAGCCAATTGACATCACTTTGGATTATTTCCTCTGGGCCTGAGCTGAAGGGAATAAGGGAGCTGGGTTTTTGACACTGAATCCATGAATACTCGGGGGCAACATTCTGGCAAAACATACATCTGTGAAATCTCTTTTTGGTCTTATAACAAACAATGGAATAAAATATACACTTCTATAGTCACTTTATCCTTAATGTTTTAAAGCTACTATCTGACCAGATCAATTCGTCGTTTAGAAATAAGTTTTATATGTATATGTATGTAAACAGAGGTGCAAAATTAACAAAGAACTGATTTCCTGGATAGAAACTGTTTCATCACTTGAAGATATCTGGAGAAAAAAGAGAAGTAACCAAAGCATTAGCTGTTAAATGTGAAGATTAGTTCTAGGGCCACTGAAATCTAAGCAGTGCAGGTCAACCAAAGAAAATTCCCCAAATGTCCTCATATGAATGACACAGATTTCTTTTTTCTTTCCAGTCATTTTGTTAAAGTTGCTTTATTTATTTTGAGAGAGAGAGAGAAAGCATGCAAGTGGGGAAGGGGCAGAGAGCGAGTAAAAGAGAAAAGATCCCAAGCAGGCTCCACACGGTCAGTGCAGAGCCCAACGCGGGGCTGGAACTCACCAACCACGAGATCATGACCTCAGCCGAAACCAAGAGTTGGATGCTTAACCGTCTGAGCCACCCAGGTGCCCCAAATGAGGCAGATTTCTATTCTATTACTCCTTAGGCAGAAAAGTCAAAGGGAAAATGCTGTGTTTCAGATGCTTCAAAGTATTCAACCAAATACTTTGAATATCTGCTATGTGCAAAACAATGTACTAACACTAGGTTCTCCTATAGTCTTTTCCCTGGAATCAAAAATCATGAAGAGATCATCAGCACCGGGAAGAACATATGCTGTTAACACCAGAGCAAAATACCAGCAAGTGAAAATCATTATGATAAGAGAACAGTATATTTAGTTGGTATAATGGAGAAAAAAATAAGTGATATATGGAAGTTAACGCAAGGTAGTGGCTAAGATCATCTAGAATCAACCAGATTTAAATCCCCATCCTGCCACCGACCTGCTGTTTGACATTAGACAATTCATCTATTCTTCTGTGCCTCGCTTTGCATATCTGTTAAATGGACATCATAACAAGGTTGATCGCATAGAGTTCTTCTGAGGATTAAATGAATACGTTAATGTACAAAAAGTACCTCTCTGAATATCCGGAATAGAATAGCGTTCAGTAAAAGGTAGCTACTGCGGCTACTACTATTATTATGATTGCATTTGACAACAAAATCTAGAGAAAATGCAAATCAAATTGCATCTCAAATGCAATTCGGCCAGAGGGAGGAAGAGAGATCTAGGTGGGTAAAAAGAACGAGACGGTAAAAACTAGGACGCAGTTTCCACCTGACAGAAGATGTGTAAACACATCCTCAGTCTTAGGATCATCAGGATGCAGGATCTTTTCTCTCGGTGGCTCCTTCCTCATGCTGCCCCTCCTGAACATCCCCGGGAACTTAGCCTATCTGGCTGCTCTGAGAGCCCTTGACCCTCCCTGCTGGAGGGGTCCCAGGGGTGAGTAGTTGCTATCAGATCAGAACTTGACACTCTCATTCAAACTGTGGCCCGCATGGCAAAGGAAGTTTGGTCCTCTTTCAGGAGAATTTAGCCTTGTGATTCTCCCCACAAGGGTTGCGTTTCTTACAGAACCTCAAATTCCAAGGCCTTACTCATATGCTTTCGGTTCAATAAAAATGGTTATATCTGAAAACCTTTTTCTCTCGGACAACAGAACATTTTTTCCCCTCCAGTACGATCGGCAAATGGATACGCACACATTTGACACTGGCTTTATTCTTATAGTCTGTATTAAAATAAGGTGGGGATTGAATATATAACCTAGAGAGATAGCAACAGAGTTTACAACTCAGACCTGTTCAAGTCAATTACTGCCTCTTCTTAGGTTTTAATGTAATGGTTGGAACTGTTTTAATCAACCACTTAAAGTTGCTTACTGTACGTGCACAATTGCTCTGTCCCCTTGTTGCACTTAGTGTTTCAATGGGGAAATTTTATACGTCACCGTGTTCCAGTTCTGTGGCCAGCAGTCAAGTGTCTGCCACAGTGAAAGGCAAGGGACCGGATCCATGACAAAGAGGTTTGGAATATGAGTTAGGAGGCTCGGAGTTCTGGATCCGGGTTGCCACTCACTTGTCAGATCTGTGTGACAAAGGCCAACGGCTCTACTTGCCTAGATTTTAACTTGCTTACTCGACGCAGTTTTGCATTTGGGCCACACAGGCCAAGACTCGTGGCTGTCAAGTTTTGATATTCACAGTGCTTCCTCAGATAACTTATACCTATTATAGGAAACATGGTATTTGTAGCAGAGACCAATAAAGAATGTACTACTGATGCGTTTTTTTTGCAATTATAGCCAAATTTATCAAATGCTGCCTATGTAGGATATTAGGTTAAGCATCTTACACTTATGACCTCTGTTACATGAATCCTTACAAAGTCTATGAGATTATTATTACTATGCTCGTTTTACAGGCAAGGAAATTAAAACAGCTAAGAGTGAAATATAATGGCAAACACAAATAGTTGTCTACAAATATCCACAGATTCCTTATTTCCAAGTGGAATCTGAGTTTTAGTTGGCCACCTGACATAGAGACAACTCTTCCCAATGTCCCTTGCAGGTGAGGGATGTCTTGTACTTACATTCCTGTCCATGGGCTATAAATGAAAAGTGTTGTGTGGCTGCTTCAGGGAATCTTTCTTAAAAGATAGTCATGTTCACCCTGTCTTTTTTCTTTGTTTTGTTGTTTTTTTTTTTTTTTTATTGTTTGTGCTGCCTATCCTCCTGATACAGGCAGGCCAGGTCTGAGGACCCAGGAGGGATCCCTCAGGACCAGCCAAGAGAGTCCCAGGCCAAGCGCAGGATGGAAATCAAACAGGAGCCAGCAGGAGGTGAAAGCAGAGTTTATTAAAGGTATAGAGTGAGTGCAGGTGCAGACAGAGTGCCTGAGAGACTCAGGAAGGAAAGGAGAGAAAGCGTCATCTTTGCTCAGGTTCCGGGTTTTTATTGAGGACCGTATGGTCCTCTCAGGCATTCAGAACCAGTCAGAACAAAGGTGAGGGTCCAGGTTTATTTCTTGGAGCTAGGCGATGTTGGCGTCTAGATGTCTAGTGCTGGGAGTCTGGAATACGTGTATGATGGCTTCATCTGGTCACTCTCACTTGGTCCTTCTGAGTGTTATCTATTCTAATGAAATCATTGACTCCTGTCCCTTACAATAGTTGCATTATGAGGCATGTGTGAAAGGGGGTTGTAGGTCCTAGTGAGAATAGACGCAGGAAAAGAAGCAAAAAGCAGACTTTTATGGAGTCCTCCAAGTTTCCCTATTTCCCTACTGGAAATGCAGATATGATGACTGAGACCCTAGGTGCCATCTTGAACCATGAAGAGGAGGGCCACGCCCACAGGTTGGGAACGTCAGTGCAATCTGTGAGGTCACTGCGAGGCTGAGCCTCTATATTATTCCCTTAATAACTAAGTCCAGACTTTTAGAGGAGAGAGAAATAAAGCTAAGTTTATGCCATAGATATTTTGGGCTAGAATCAAACCCAACCTTTACTAACGTGGGTATAGCGTCCGAGGTCACACAGCTAGTGAAAGAAAGCTGGAGTTCTGACCCTGGTTTCCCGGACTAGTCAGGCACAGACATTGTCATTGCACTATACTAACCCTGGAATTAGGCCCATCGCTCTATAATACTAGATATTTAAAATAGGTATACTTGATCCTGGAATACAGTCGATATTTTGTTTCCAGTTAGTCTGTCTTTCTAATTACATTTGACTCTGGCTGATATTAAATTGAGTTCTATACCCTGAGCACATGCACAGGGTTTTTGGCAGCAGGAAGGGTCTTGGGAAGGCCAGCTTGACCTTAAATTTTTGTGGCAAATGCTTGGACAATGTGGATAATGCACACCAAAGCTCTTGAAAAATTAGATTTTCATCACAATGATTTCCATCTGCCTTCTTCATTTGCATGAAGGGAGCCATGCCTGAAGCACTTGCTCTGTGACATTCTGGGGTCTATATCTGCACATGAAGGCAGTATTGCTGGGGGCCCTAGACGTCGCCTGCCTGTGTAGTTCGAACAATAAAACCACTCAATATTTCTTGGCTATTTTAAATAAATGGATACCATTTGTCTGCAAAGTACCTCAATTCTGCACTCAACATTGCAAATGAGATGGTAAGGAACTATACTTTGTCCTTGAAGATGGAGGCAGTGGGGAAGATAGAAAATAATCCTCATTTGTTGATAATCTGAATTCGCTGCTTAATGTCCCCAGATAATTAAATTGAAAGCTGTTAAATTCATTAGAGTTCATAAGGTGGACAGATGTGATACAGTCACAAATATTGGTAGTATCCTGTATAACAGACATAATTATGTAACATACTGGAAAAATCTTAGTCATGTGTGCTGTCAAAAACAAAACAAAACAAAGCAATGAAAAAAAAAAAGCCCTTAAGAGTAACCTGAACAATACATATACTGGACTTTTAGGAAGAAAATTTCAAATTTTCTGAGAGCTTTAAGGGATGGTAAAAATTAATGAAAAAGCATATTACACTCCTCTATGGATACCAGCAGGCCAGGTCTGAGGTCCCACAGAGGTCCTACAGGACTAGCCAAGAGGGTCCTTGGCTGTGTGCAGGATGGAAATCAAAGGTGAGCCATCAAGAAGTTAAAGAGGAGTTTATTGAAGGTATAGAGACAGTGCAGGGACAGACAGACACAGTGTCTGGGAGACTCCGAAAGGAAAGAATGGAGTCTTGTTTTTGCTTGGGGTCTCGGGTTTTTATTGATGTTTGTGGCCTGATACACGTGTCCTCTTGGGCATCCAGGAACTGGTCAGAATAAGGACAGGGTCCAGGTGTCCATCATAAGTCACTTATTCCCCGGACCCAGGGGATCTTGGCGTCAAGATGTCTAGCACCAGTGGTCTGGAATATGCACTTGATGGCTTTGCCTGGTCATTCCTCAGATGTTATCTGTTGTGCTGGAAGGCTCCAGACAAATCATTAACTCCTCGTCCCTTAAAGGAGGACATACATTAAAGCATGTGTAGGGCTGCGGTGCAGGTCCTAGAGACAATAGAAGCAGGAAAGGGAGCAAAAAGCAGGTTTTTGGTTTCCATGTCTCATATGGAATAACTTAATATAGCAAAAGTGTTGGCTTTTCCAAATTGATTAACAGATTATTCATTCTGATCGAACTTGTATTAGAGTTTTGTGAGTTAGCAAAATAAGTCTTAAGTTCACGTGGCAGAATAAATTCATGAAAACAGCTAAGGTAATGTTGAACATTCACGATAATGAAGGCTTTAGATTTTAAAATATAACAATAAAAGTATTCAGGCAATGAGATGTCTGTAAAAATATAGATGGACCAACATTTTATGTAACAATTCAATAAATGACAAAGGGTAATGAAAAAAAATTGAAAGACTAACAGAATAGTCAACAAGCGGTGTTAGGATATTTTCTATTTGGAGAAAAGTTAATTTTGATAGCAATCGTGCATCTTATATTCAGATAAATTCTGATGTACTAACAATTAGGTGTCAAATTAGGAAAACATAAAAATAGGTGACTATTAATGTCAAGTTTCGGGGTGAAGATGAATTTCCAAGCATAAAAGAAGTAAAACAAATAAGGCAAGAAAACATGAATAGATCTGACTCTATAAAAATGTATGGCTATTCTATGTCAAACAAACAGTATAAAATTAAAAGGAAAAGTGGGAGTTCTGATGCTGGGACAGCAGCCTGAGCCCTGCGGACCCACTCTCCAGTGAAATAAGTGTAACTGGAGAAAATGACACGTATTAAAAAAAAAAACCCAACCATTTAAAGTCTCTGGCAATTGGCCTAAAAACATAGGGCAAATGAGGAAATATTTATTCAAGAAAATCTAATCTCAGTAAGAACGTTGAGAGTCTGGTGGTTGAGCCCTGACCTTCTCTCTCTCCTTTCCCAGCTCACCTTGCTGGAGGCTTCACTCCGGGCAGAGGAGCCAAAAATACATGACTCCCACTCCACTCAGTGCTCAACCAAGAAGCATGGCACCTTACCAAGAAGAGTAGCAAGTTGCTAGCATTTCTCATTGGCTTCAACCCGAGGTGAAGGTGTGAAATTTGCGGTAAATATACCAGGAATTTAGGTCGGGAGCTGTCTTCCTCCACCCAGCCCCTCTCACTGGATTGAGTCTGTAACTCAGACGTGGCACATGGGGAACACTGGGGCCCCAACAACCCTCCGCCAAGCTCACTTGGAATTGCCAGGGTCCATGGCAGGGGAGAGGGTTATCAAGACCAGAGGCTAGCTTTCGACCCAGTGCCCAGAACAATGGCTCAGAAATTTCGCCAAAAGAGGCAGTGTACAGAGATCTCTGAAGCTTTTCCCCAAAGGAATTGGGGGCATTTTATTTATTTATTTATTTATTTATTTATTTTTTAACGTTTATTTATTTTTTTGGGACAGAGAGAGACAGAGCATGAACGGGGGAGGGGCAGAGAGAGAGGGAGACACAGAATCAGAAACATGCTCCAGGCTCTGAGCCATCAGCCCAGAGCCCGACGCGGGGCTCGAACTCCCGGACCGCGAGATCGTGACCTGGCTGAAGTCGGACGCTTAACCGACTGCGCCACCCAGGCGCCCCGGGGGCATTTTATTTAAAACAGTGTTGGAAAGTTCAAGACTCTAGGCACTCTTAATGAAGAGCCGTGTGCAAAACCATAGGTCAGTTAGTTCATCAGACAATCAGGGAGGGAGACAGCAGAGCAGAGCCTTCGTGGGCTCAGATGAAATCTCAAAGACTGGCAGCAAAGCTTCCCTTACTCAAACAGAGTGATTAGACAGCAATTAGCGAGGCCTAAGGGCTGGTCTCCTTTAGGCCTCCTTCAGGAGACAGCTAAACAAAGGGATCACGGGAAGAGACAGGCCCTGACTCCAACTAGTTGGGTGGCCCCCAAATACTCCCACCGTGAATTTGATCTGAAATCTTATTGATTGGTAATGTCTCTAGACCCTTCACAAAAACCAATGCAAATTCTCTCTGGAAGTGTGCATCTTTTCCCTAGACCCCAGTAGAGTCTCAAAAGTAATTTTTCTAAGAAATTGGTCATCTCGCAATCAACAATGACTAAGCACACCTAGTGCTCGGATCTGGGTTTGTAAATTTGTTTCTTTTTGAAAAGAAACAGGAATTAGTGGGGGAGGGGGGTCGGATAGCCGGTCCCAGGCCTGGAGCAAAGAAAGTAAACATTGGTCTGAAGCATCTTTTTGTGTGAGAAAGATGAAAAGGTCACTGAAGCCAGCCTAAAGGGGCTTCCACCAATTAAATCAGGAAAAATTCGGGCGTCCAAATTGCCCACAATAGTGAACTATAATACATTGAATAAGATAATCAGGCATCCATGGTGATACTGAAAAATACAAATAAAGAAAGTGAAGAGTAAGCTTTATTTACTTTTTTGTTCATTTATCTGTATTCTATTAACTGTAGGATAACTAATAAAGAGGAAAGGAGAGAATTCGAAAATCACCGTTTTGCAAGCCTGGCAAGAATAACTGATTTTGGCAACAATCATCAATGGCTACTAAAGCTGTTGAGTGAAAGTTTGTTGGGTAGTCAGGTACTTAGTCTCAGAGCATCTTCCCACAGGTTATTTATTAGTGAGAATGTTATAAAAGATACCTTCAGACCGGAGAGATTTGGCAAACACCGCCTTAACTAGGTGAGCAGAGTTAACATTGCTAAAAATGGGACCATTGAAATCATGTGCCTCCTGAAGAAGGAGAGAGATCTCTTATGTCATACTCCTGCCGAAAATGCATAACTTGAAACCAACCAAGGGGAAACAACCAGACAAAGGCAAATTGAGGGACATTCAACAACACAATTAGACTGTGGTCTCCCGTGAATTCTGCTTCCTTCTCATCTCCCCCGTTCAATAAATCATCTTGTTCTGCTGACTTTACCTCCTAAATATCACTAGAATTCATTCACTTCTCTCCCTTCTCTCAGTTACATCATGTCACCTAATTGCTAAAACAGTTGCTGGCCGTGTGCCTCTCAAATCCATGCTTCACAGGTTAGCCTGAGTGATGTGTCTACGGTATAAATCTGATCATGCCACTTTCCTGCTAAAAAGGTTTCTGTGGCTTTCAGTGGCTATTAGAATAAATGCAGACCCTTAAATCTGTTTAACAAAGCCCGCCTTGATTTGGCTCCTGCTTTGCCCTCTAGCTGTATCCCTTCGATACTCCACACTCTCTGTTCGCCACTTCCCTTAATTTTCAGGCTGAGATATGTTCTGTTTTGTGCAGGCTTTTACCCATGTCTAAAATGTTTTCTCTTTCTCTGCTTCCTACCCCAGTGCCCTCTCTCTGACACTAAGCCCTTTTCATACTTCTGGCCTCGGTAGGATTTATTCTGAGAAGCTTTCCTTTACCGCCCCATGCTCAACTCCGCCCCCCTCCCCCCCCACATCTTCCGTGTTTCTGTGTTTCTTCCGTGTGATCTGAAATACCTCACGCTGTTTCAATTTCAGTACTTAGCATATTGCTTTGTAATTTCTTCTATAAAGTCTAACTCCTCTACTTGTCTGTAAACCTCACAGGGCAGGGACTGAACCGATCTCTTTCACTGTTTTATTACCCAGGGCCCCAAACAGTATCCGGGGCATAGAGTTTTGATTGAATGAATGGACAATACGCAGTGGGAGAAGAAGGGGCATTTTACAAAATAGTAGTGAATGTTCTAGATGGCATCAGCTGTGTGGTACCAGCTTTAGGGGTTCATATCTCAAGATGATATTTAAAGGCTGAGGAGTAACTTTCCATTAAAAAGATAATACGCGTGTCCAGTTCTTAGTTCCTAAATGTCATCTCTCAACAGAAGAAACCAGGATTCCTTGGAGAAGTGGTTGGTTCCAGGTTTGGGACAGGAAAATGTGAGATGAGCTTGGATTATCCTATGAAGCCTGAATTGGAAGCAAGTGTTAAAAAAAAAAAAAAAAAAAAAAAAAAAAAAAAAGGAAGGAAGAAAGAAAGAAAGAAAGAAAGAAAAGAAAAAAAAAAGAGAGAGAGAGATCATGTCAAAAAGACACAGGGGCTAACTGAAGGCGATCCCATTGGCCAAAGCTAGACCAATATCTGAGCAACAAAATAAATAGTATTAAATTGTAGCCCCCCCCCCGAAGTAAAATAAATACCCACAAACCCATACTGATATAAACTACCTGAATCAATAAACGCATGGGGAAAAGATCCCTTACAGAAGACTTCCTACAGAAAACTTGCAATTAGTAAATGCAGAAGAAATGAGGGAAATAGAAATCACCGTTAGGTAAACACTGCAGTAATAATTGTTGCAGGCGACAGCCATCAGCCAATCCTAGAATCAATGGGCAGATGTTTCGGGAGGGACAGGTTCACAATATCTTCCCCAAGACATTTATTCATTACAAAGGAAAAAGTAGCGACTGTGTAGTTGAGAAACCTGGCCGACACCTTCTCAACCAAACGATCAAGCTTAACATGACCAGTAAGATAAGTGAACATCCCGTAGGGGAGCTTGGGTGGCTCGGTTGAGTGTCCAACTCTTGACTTTGGCTCAGGTCATGATCTCATGGTTTGTGAGTTCAAGACCTGTGTCGGGCTCTGTGCTGACAGTGTGGCATCTGTTTGAGATTCTCGCTCTCCCCTCTCTCTCTCTGCCCCTCCCCAACTCTCTCTTTCTCTCTCAAACATACACATTAAAAAAAAGATATGTGGACGTGATGTACCCCCAGATAGCATGCACTGAAGAGCACAAAACATTACCTGTGTGGTATTTTTGTCAAAAATGCATCACGTCACTCTGACCATGAGAAAATATCAAACTGAAACTGAGGGACGTTCTATACAACAAGTTTTCAGAAGTGTCAAGATCATAAAAGACAAGGAAAGCCTAGGGGAGAGACCCAGCCCCAAGGAGACTAAGGAGACAAGACAACTAAATATAATTCTGTATCTTGTGTTGGGATCTGGAACAGACAAAATGAATGGGACGCAGAGTTCAAATAAAGCCTGTAGGTAGGTTAATAGTAGAGGGGAAAAGGGTTGTCCTAGCAACCAGTTTATTGTGGGAGAGAGCAACTATTTGCAAACACATTAAAATTGTAAGAAGCATGAAATGAAACGTAATATTCAAGGTGTTGAAATGTCTACCCATTTTTTTCTAAGTTGAAACAAATCCTTCAAGGTGCCTGCCTCTTGCCAAAGTGCTGGGAAGTCTAACAATAATCTTCTTTATTTTTCTCTCCTTTGACCTCTGTTAGAACCCAGGGCTTATGCAGTTCAGGTTCTCCAGTTTGTATGGACCAACTACGGGTCCTTTTGCCCACCACACATTCCTCCCGGAGTATGTGGATTCCCCAGATTTGGTCAGGTCTGGGGGCTTGGAGTAGTGCTCACCTCTGAGGCTTGGTTAGAATATGCTTGCTGCCGTTCTGAGGGCAGAAATCCTTCCTCGCCAGCTCCACAGGACTCAGTGACATTGTCATCAGAGGGCCTGCTCGCGTCTGGGTCTGTGGGTACAAGTGAGGATATAAACTGTGCAGGAAGCAAAGGCCTCATCTTCCCCCCTGTTTTCTGGTAAGTCATCTCCTCTTAGGAAAGATCCCCATAGGGCAGGGCCACTTGCCTCCAGCATAGCCTCCAACTTGCCCTCTTAGTAGATCTCTAGCCAGGTTGTGTGTGTGTGTGTGTGTGTGTGTGTGTGTGTGTGCGTGCGCTGGTGGTTGGGGGGATGTGCTGGCTAATTTTATGTGTCAACTTGACTGGACTATCCGGTCCTCAGAAGTTTCATTAAACACTGTTCTGGAGTGTCTATGCGGGTGTTTCTGGATGAGATTACATTTGAATTGATAAACTGAAGAAATCAGGTTACTCTCCCTGAGGCCGATGAACCCTATCCAGTCCATGGGAGGCCTGACTAGAACAGAAGTTGGAGTACAAGAATATTCGCTCTCTCTGTCTGAGCCTCTTGGGAGTTGGGACAGCAGCTTTTTCCTGCACTTGGACTAAAACTTAAACCATGGCTTTCCTGAGTCTCCAGCTTATCAATTACAAAACTTGGGACTTGTCGGCCTCCATAACCACGTGAGCGAATTCCTTACGATACATTCCTTTCTCTACATATACACACATTCTATTGGTCCTGGAGAACCCACACTGATAGGAGATGTTTACAGGATGGGTTCTATCCCATTAAATTAAAAAAGTCTATCAAGTACCCGTTGAGGATAAATTCCCAGAGCTCTGGAATACTGAACTATTTTCCTCATGAAGAAAACAAATTTCAAATGTTAACTTAATTTTAAATTATGAAGTATAATCTAACAGACACAGAGGAAAGAGAATACAACACAACACAACAAACATCCGTTTAAAATGTTTATATTTGCTTTCGTAGAAATTTCCTATTCATCCTTCTGATAACCAGCAAACATTAACAGAACATGAAGTACTTAATTATAATATATTGCTTTGCCATAACAGCTTTCCTCTCCATGAGCATGTTTTCATCTTATTCTCACATAATAAAAAAAAAACACATTCACAAAAGAGCTGGATTAAAAAATACTTTGAAGTTATTATACTTGAAAGAACTTTAAAGTCATAAATGGTATTTCTTTTCAAAATAATATTAACTCAGATTTTTCAAATTTACCTTCTCACTAATTAAGGCTGTTTTGTTTTGTTTTGTTTCATTTTGGTTTTTTTTTTTTTTTTGCCAGAATTCAGAGACCGTAGGGGGTTCTTTCTATGACTCACTTCCTGTACCTTAAATGCTCTGAAGAGGTCATTTGAATTTATAATATTTTACTCACAGAAAAAGCAGTGCAGCAATTTATTCGGGGACTGGTGTCACTGTGCCCACTTGTCTCCTGCATTTTTGGAAAGAGGTTGTCCTCTGTGAGGAGTAGTTTGAAAGAAAAACACTTAAGCAGCCCATGACTAAGACTGAGCACATTTCAAACTTTTTTCCTAAATGAACAAGTCAAGTCAGTTTACTCACCCAAATAGGATCAACTCTACCCAACACCTCATTCTGATATTTTGAAGTTGATTGACCAATGATGTGACAAAGATGACTGGCTCCACTTAAGATGATTAATGTGTGTGGGTCCCAGCACAGCCATGGCACTGCTGTTCCTGTCCCTCCGATGCAGCAGGGGAAGCCTTGGGCAGAAGCAGTCAATGCTCCTCAGAGAATTCTCTCGGTGCCACCAAGTCCAGAAAGAGCCCCTTTCTTTGAGAATGATGAAAATAAGAGTGATTTCCTGAACCCACACTACTTGGTGGTGTGTTTGCTGGAGCGAAACCATAATTATAACTCAGATCCATTCCCTTTGATGTCCCAAACCAGGGTGTCTGGAAAGGTTACTGTAGAGGTGACTAACTTCTCTGGGTCTTGTCACCCTTTGGTGGTAAAAGAAGGGTGGTAAAAGAAGGGCAGGAGATTTCCCGTGTTCTGTTCACATTCTTTCCTCCTCACTGGGTTCCTGTATAAAGCCCACGCGAGACTTCTGTGATGGTCGGGCTAGGCGATGGTGCTCAGCTGTTTGGTCAAACGCCAGTCTAGATGTTGCTGTGGAGGTATTTTGTAGATATGATGAACATTTACAGTCAGTTGACCTTAAACAAAAGAGAGTGTGCTCTATAATGGAGTTGGCCTCATCCAATCAGATGGAGGCTGTAACAGCAAAGGCAGGTTTCCGTGAGGAAAAAAAAAATTCTGCCTCAACACTGTAAGACAAAATCTTGCCTACATTTCCAGCTTTCTGTCTGCCCTTGTGGATTTTGGATTTCCCAGCCCGCATAAACACGTAAGCCAATTCCTTAAAATAAATCCTTTTCCTTGACATAAGTATCTATTTATGGATAGATGGATAGATGGATAGATGGATAGATAGATGGATAGATAGATAGATAGATAATAGATAGATAGATGACAGATAGATAGATGACAGACATGTGTATATATACCATTTCTCCATCTCTCTCTCTCTCCTCCTCCCCCCCCCCCCGCCCCCCCCCCCGCCATCTCCTGTTGGTTCTGTTTCTCTGGAGAAGGCCATCTCATGTAATTCATTGAAAGCTTTTTCCCCCCATTGTCTTTCTCTTCCTCTTTCTCCTCCTCCTCTTCCTCCTGCTGCTTCTTCTGGAGGTTGTGGTCACCATTTACAGCTCAGAGCCCCACCAAGGAACATGACTGCTCACAACTATGCCCACAATACCCCAGGAGCCAGCACCAAGGAGATGGAAGACAGGAGACTTGTCTCCTGGAACACCAGCAGTTCCCCACTTGCAGGACCTCAAGGTGCTCCCTGGGCCCCTGTCCAACCTGAGGGCCCTGAGCACCAGCGGGGCCGTGAGGAGGCTACATCCAGGGTAGCACTGGGCTCCCTTTGCCCCTCCCAGAGGACTACCTCAGCTCCCTGACCCCACCCTGGTACTTTTCCTTGTGGAGTTTTACTTCTTTAGAATTTTAAAAAGAGTCACCACTTTTCAAAATGTCTAAGTAAATTGCTTTGGTCTCAAGAAAACTTTGTGGAGCCAAATAATGAATTCTTGAAAAGAAGAGATTATATGGAAATGTGTTCAGAATTCTGTTGTGTTAGCAAGAAAGAGATGTCAACACTATGCTTGATAGTCCATTTTTCTTGGTTGTTCTTCTGGTCTTAGTTACAATACAATGGAAATTATTCACACAAATGTGTAACCTCCTTGTTTGCAGTTTTTGAATGTGTTACTTTTCCCCAGCATTTTCCCCCCCAATTAGGCTAATTTTGAAGAGTACAGTTGAATGTGGGAACAGACATGTTAATCTGGAAGTGTTTATTATAAACACACGTTGGTACAGCAAATGGCCCCCATTCAAGGAGCAACTACTGTCTGTATCACTTTTGCCTCTCTTGATGTTCCATTTGAAATAGAATGGAGTGCTTATTGAAAGCACAAATTCAGTCAACTAGCATTTCCATGGTGCCTTTGAACCAGCTCTGTACAAGATACAGATAGGCTTACAAATGAGGAAGCCATTCATCTGGTATCAACTTAAATATCAGGCTGGTTCTTTCGTCCATTCATCACTAAACAATCAGTTTCAGGGATTTTCTTCTGAGACATTTGTTGGACTGAGCTGATTGCATCGGTGTCATATAGACCCCATTTAGTTTCCTAAAAATCATAATGTCAGGACAGCCAAGCATATTCGCTGATGATGAATTTTAGACATTTCTGTGTCTTAAAAAAACATAACCCAAACACCCCCCTCCCCATTCCCAACAGCCTAACAATAAGTAAGTTAGCGTGTGATGCCTATGACTTCAACTTTAAAAATTTACGGTGCCTCTATTTATTCTTGTCAATTTTAAGAGTTAATGCAACTTCTTGAAAAATCGTTTAAAGGCAATGCGGTAAAACATGGGTATGTCTCATGGCCGAAATGTGAGATTTGCTCATATACAAAATCAAAACGGATCATAAAACAGCCACTGAAGTCTTTTGCCAATTGTCTGTAAAAGGAGACCCCCAATGACCTACAGCAGGAATATAGATGCAAAGTTGTACTTTGCTTCATGCCCTAGGGAGGTTTTTGGCTTTAAGATTTTGTCTCTTTGCTGCCAAATGCTAAAGCCAAGTGCATTGCTAAAGCTTTAGACACATTTTCATCAATAAAATTTCTTATAAAACAGATCCTGCAAATGCTGAACTTATCTGCCAAAGAGCCAATTAATTATTTTACATCCTTGTTGAACAATGAAATAATTTATGATGGGTAAAGGTTTTACCATCACAAATTAGTGTTCTGGAAACCACAAGGCCCAGCTCTCAATTAGCAGGAGGCATCACAATTAGGGATGAAAAGAAGTAATGCTGTGTGTTGGAAATTCTCCCTGTAGAGAAATAAAACTCCCGAGGAACAATGACCCAACTAATTTGAGAGAGTTGGGTTTTTAGAAAAGCAGAGATCTGTGTTAAAGGAAAAAGTTCAAACGCTGCTCAGATGCCTAGACCTCTGCCTTTCCCCTCCCCGATGGCTCTTTCTTTTCACAAATTGCAGCTATTAAATTTGGACCTATCTTGCCCACCACACATTAATGTTTTAATCCCAAGTCAGACAGTCAGTAAGTTCACTCCATCACTGACAGTCACAATTTTCTGCATTGGGTCAATAAGGGGTGGTGCCTCCAATTCTCTGAATTTTCCAGAGAAGAGGAAAATCTGAGCAGAAATAGCACTCACAGTTACCTTTTTTTGTCATTTTTGGCTGGATCTGGCATACAAGAAAAGGCTCTATAGGAGAGCATGTTTCAGATTTCAGATGGCTGATTTGGATCTTAATGCAAGCCATTTGTAGATGATAGCGTCAAACTGAATAGGTAACCGCCATATTTGCTTAACTAATCAGAGTGAAATCAACATCCTGCAGGCATATGTAAGATGTAGGCAGTTGGGGCATGGGACAAGGAATTGTCTTTCAGGTTACAGTCCAGAGAAGACGGAGGCTGGAATAATCTTCATTCATGGCCGAAATTCTTGAACCTTCTGGAATCTTTAGATGTTTTAGCAGAAAGTGGTGAGGAGAAAATGCACCTTTTGGATCCATTTCAAATGATATAATTGACTGAAAATTGACATTGGGAAGCTTGACTTGTCTTCTTGAGAGTCTCAGTATCCCCAATATTGTCTGTAGGTGTATTTACTTCCAAAACTTAACAGCTTCCAGGAAGTGGACTTGGCCCCCTAGAAAACACCCTCTCTCAGCTGGCTTTGCGTGAACAGAAATCCCCTGAGTTGTGGATTTTGACCTTGGAGTCATAGGGGCGGCTCCTGTTGGAATTCCTGGAAGCCACATATTTACATCAGAGAAAAAAATTTGGCTTAGCCTTTTCCTCTTTAGCCAGTCCAGGATGAAATCCCATCCTTTCAGAAACTTGTAAGTGAAAAATGTTGGCAGGTCTTAGTATATGTGTTCAACACTTGTACCTTCTCCTATCCCATGTGAATGAATGTTCAGCTCCGGTCTCGGGCATGTTTTCTGTCTCTGTGTTGTTAGCCAAAGCAGAGTCAGCCATGCTATTTCTTCACAACGGGCCGTGACCAAGGCCCCCCAAAGGAATTTTAGTATAGGTTTCGCTTTGGTACCAACTCATCATCTGTGACATCCTCACGTTAAGGTGGTTTAGGATCTAAAAGAAATTTGTATGAGCAAATGAGATGAATTAGGTGTGATACAACTTTCTTCCTTGAAGAAAAGTTTTTGTTTGATTAGTACAGTAACTGATGGTTCCCTTCATAGTATACCCCTTTAATGTTTAAGCGTTATGATTCTGATTCCTCCGAATCTGATTTCCAGAAAAGTCTTCAGGAATACATCTATGATGGATCAATTACTACTAAGCATTCTTTATGGAGACAGCCATAAAGGGCTTGAAACAAGTCGTTCCTAAAAAATATGATTGAAATTCAAATGTCTGACGGACAAAACCAAACAAAACAATAACTGACATATTATTAGTAGGTTGTGTTCCCAGAGAAATAAAAACATTATGAAATCACTGGTGTGCTTTAAGCACTACCTCCCTAGGCACAGGCCGTCTCTAGGTTGATGAGAAACTTTTCTGGTGGGAAGGGGCTTCTCTACACAGGTCCTGGTGTTCCTCTGGGTCTGGGAAGTCAATCCAAGCACCCATGAGTCCCCACCCTCACTGAAGAAGTCACGACTGAAAGTTGAACCGTGTTTCGCCTGTATACCCCCGTCTCCCACGTTCCGACCACCAGTGAGAAGTTTCAATGAAGATTTAGCCCTTTGGGGCACAGATGACCTACTCAAGGAAGGTTTCTAACTACTATTTGTCAGAGGGTGGGGCTTGAGCCAAGTAACTGAAGCAGAGGGGAGGTGGAGGGCATACTCACAAGGGATTGATAACTCCACTTGTGATAAATGATACCCCTACCTTGAGAGCCCTACCTCCTCAGCGTGCTAGATTTGGTGTTTCCTCTTCAACAAACGCACACGCTGGGTTTTGGTATTCTGTAAGCAGAGGCTAAAAACTAATGTGCTATTAAATATAAAATGCTTTTGTTCCCTAAAAGACCATAACCATCTTTTCTCTCTAAGAGTCAGAGAGAAGGGCAGACTCTCGGGTCTGGTTGCATCCTTTACTGAATTAGGTGACTCTGGGCAAGTCTTTTACTCTCTGTGAGTCTCAGTTTCCTCATCTTTATGACGAGGAAGGTCATGCCTACCTCAATGGATTGTTACAAGATGATGTGTGGGAAAGCACCTAGTCTAATTCCTGGAACATAACACTGCCTAAAAATAAACACTGACTCTGACGAACTTGTGTTACCAAATTGTATTTTAAAAATGGTTTCTTTTGTTCTGTTCAAGATGGTGCATTAACTCTACTCTATTTGCTCTACTCTGTATCTTGTTTGTGTTGTGTGTGTGTGTGTGTGTGTGTGTGTGTGTGTGTGGAAGGACGGGGAATAAGAGAAAAGACAAAAATCCAACAATACGTCTTGATATTTTTTTTTCCTTCTTGGACATTGTTTATTTCCAGTAAGCATCACACCTTTGTTTTTAAATTTTTTTTTTCAACGTTTATTTATTTTTGGGACAGAGAGAGACAGAGCATGAACGGGGGAGGGGCAGAGAGAGAGGGAGACACAGAATCGGAAACAGGCTCCAGGTTCTGAGCCATCAGCCCAGAGCCTGACGCGGGGCTCGAACTCACGGACCGCGAGATCGTGACCTGGCTAAAGTCAGACGCTTAACCGACTGCGCCACCCAGGCGCCCCTCTTTGTTTTTATCCCATCCTGTCCTATAACCATGTATTGGAAAGGCTCTGAGAGATAGGAACACTTCTTTGTGTTTTTTGTTTGCTTGT